TAGGGTTAATAATGCTTTTAAAATGAAGGTATTTAGCAAGGAAACATATACTGAGCTTTACTTGAATTGGTTGTCAGCTCCAATTCAGGTTTCAAAAAATAGGGATTATAAAAACTTTATTGCTGTTGCAAAAACTAATTACAGTTCAAAAGAAGGGTTAGATAAGGAAGTAAATGATTTTTTATCTGGAAACTGTATTGGTGAAAAGGAATGAATATCCTATTAGTGTGATTAGAAAATAATTAACAACTGATAGCTTGTGAGAAAATTCATTCAGATGATATGGTTTATTGTGTAATTCCTTAAGTACCTACCTAGTTTATCAACTTTCATTCCTACTTTTGTAAAATCACTGTAATTATGGTAGTCTGAGCCAAAGTATGGTAAAAGTTTTTAAACCTTATGTAACTCAGTTTTTGTAGTTTTGACTTTCTTGTTTCAATACTTTTTGTAGTGTTAAAACTTTCTATATTACCACAGCTAGCTAGGTTACATGTATATCAATCCCTACTTGTAATTATAAAATTAAAAAATATTTTATTGTATTTGGTTCCTTTTTATTAGCTATATTTTTGTGTACCAGAAATACCAAGCATGGAGTATGCATATATCCAATTCGATTTTATTCCTCATCACAATCTCTACCAACCTACCCTCAAATCTAATTATACACCCAAAGTAGCACATCATCCATTATATATATATATACACATTAGTATCCTTTTTGGTGTAAGAAAGGAATCACTGGGATCCCCAGATGGAAAAGTTCTGTGAAAGAATTAAGAGTTCATCATTTTTTCTTACACTTGTCTGGAAAAGTCACTTAGATAAAAATTCGTTGGAATAGTGAAATTTTTATTCACTCCATAAACACATGTAAAGCAATCTCTATAGTTATATTTTGGTAATTCAGTTGCTATTTCTCAAGTCCTGATTGTAATTAGCTACTTGCTGTATCTGTCCACAATGCTCATTTGGTTTGACATCAATGGTTTTCATTTCTGTACAGTGGCCAGAGCTAGACATTCAACACATTATCTTGGTGTTTGGTAAGTTACACCCAACCTATATTTTCGTAATTCAGTTGCTATTTCTCAAGTTCTGATTATCTATGTGCAGTGTTTGTACACAATGCTTATATGGTTTGTCATCAATGGTTTTTTTTTCTGTGGTATAGTGGCCAGAAATGGACATTCAATAAATGAACAAGATAACCCATTGATATTCCCATGCTGCTGACCTGGATAATTTACAATTAGTATTCTTACAGCATCATTATCCAATGTACAACAAAGTTCCAACACATAATTCCATGACTTATGACTGGTCTTGGGTGTTTTATCTGGTTAAAGTAAGGCAAAATATTATTTTCAATAGCCTCCCATGACCTCTTACATCTGTCCTTTCCTTCTTTTTATTTATTTGACCTATCCTACAGTCTTTTTATAATTTGAATATATTAAAAGTATATCCATGAAATAATCCTAGTTAATATTCACACATTTTATAGGTGGTTTTAATTGGGCGATTTTTATGGCCACTATTTTGTTTCATCACGATTATTACTATTAAGTACGACCATACTTAATGATATGGATATTTTTTATTACTTGAAGTGAATAAAACAGTCATTACTCCAGTAATATAGAAAGACAGATTATTATTTTTGTTAGTGTGTTATGTAACTATTGTACTCTTAAAAAGAAAAACAGTATATAATTATATGTTAAACAGATGAATGCACAAGTTTCCCCACATCCCTCAAAAGACATGTAAGCTCTGTAAAAATGTGCAGTGTTTCTCTTTACTAAATCATGGAAATGTTAGCTAGAAACTGACCTATACACCTGTTTTCCAATTTCTTGTAACCTTCAGGACAAGTACAATGATAGCTTCCAGGAGTATTTATACAGCCATGCTCACAGTCATGTTGGCCTGTGATGCATTCGTCAATATCTAGAAATAACAGAAACTCAAGTTACTCCATAAACATTACATGACTCTTCATTAAGTTTACAAACGATTACTACAACTGAAAATAACATTGTTAACCACTGTGAACAATAAACTGAGGATCTAACCTTGGATCACAATACTCTCATAGCATGTTGCTGTTCATAATTAAATTTGTGTAATAACTTCATATTTACTGCTCTAATTGTACAAGAACTATACTTTATAAAGTCCAATGGTGTACCTTTGATACAAATGGGAAATGTTTCGATTCAGTGGATCTTTTTTAAAAATTAACGTACAAGTTTTTTCTATTTAAATTAAATATATTCATACATTAAAGATACATTATATTTTCTTCACCAATCGTTGTCAAAAGAAACTACTAGCTTACCTAGAAGAGAGAACAAATATTTCTTTGTCAAACTACTTTAATAAAAGGTTACTTTGAACTAAAATATTATCCTATTTACCAGTTGTTTTGATAACATGTTTTGATACTTGTGCAAGTTTTACTGTTCAATATATCCTTAGCATCAACACAAAGTTTTCTCAAGTAGTCTACCTGCAATGAGAAATCACCAATTTACCTTGGCAGGTTTTGCTGTCTTGGTTAAGGCTGTAGCCAGTCGGACAGAGACACATGTAGCTTCCTTCTGTGTTCTTACACGTATACTTGCATGGAGAGGGCTTTTGTTGGCACTCATCAACATCTGAAAACAAAATGTCAGTTTTAAAACAAAATGTCATAAGTCAATAGACAATGAAGTTGCTGAAGTCTGCTAAGGAAGTAACGTGCCTAAATAGATAACGTGCCTGAGTAGGTAACGCACGTTTTCTACTTAGGCACGTTATCTACTTAGGCACGTTATCTACTTAGGTACGTTATCTACTCAGGTACGTTATCTACTCAGGTACGTTATCTACTCAGGTACGTTACCTACTGAGGTACGTTACCTACTTAGGTACGTTACCTACTTAGGCACGTTACCTACTTAGGCACGTTACCTACTCAGGTACGTTATCTACTTAGGCACGTTACCTACTCAGGTACGTTATCTACTTAGGCACGTTTCCTACTTAGATACGTTATCTACTTAGGCACGTTATCTACTTAGGCACGTTATCTACTTAGGCACGTTACCTATTTAGGCACGTTACCTATTTAGGCACGTTACCTACTTAGGCACGTTACCTACTCCTGCACGTCACCTACTCCTGCACGTCACCTACTCCTGCACGTTACCTACTCAGGCACGTTATCTATTTAGGCACGTTACCTACTCAGGCACGTTATCTACTCCTGCACGTTACCTACTCGGGCACGTTATCTACCTACTCCGGCACGTTACCTACTCCGGCACGTTACCTACTCCTGCACGTTACCTACTCAGGCACGTTATCTACCTACTCGGGCACGTTACCTACTTAGGCACGTTACCTACTTAGGCACGTTATCTACTTAGGCACGTTATCTACTCAGGCACGTTATTTACTTAGGCACGTTATCTACTCAGGCACGTTATTTACTCAGGCACGTTATCTAAGTAGGAAACGTGCGTAAGTAGGAAACGTGCGTAAGTAGATAACGTACCTATACAGCTGGTCTTGGTCCGATCGGGTCTATAGCCTCGGTTGCAGATACATCTATAAGAACCCAAGGTGTTTGCACATTGACCATTAGGACAGAGGCTGGGCATGAGTGCACACTCATCAACATCTGGAGTACAGAACAAATAATATGGTTAAAAATTATATTGTTTCTATCTTAACTGTTACTGATATCTACAAAGACAAGTTAATAATCCAAATGACATGACAAAGTAAACTAGTTTGTTTCGTAAAACCCATCTACCAGAAGGAAAATTAAGTTATTGTGTTTTTACACTGAAACAACATTATGATTCCATCATCTTTCTAACTCCTAGGTAAATAGGTTTTTTTCTTAACAGTACTGTTTATAAAGCATAAATGTTATACAAAAATACATCACATTTATAATACTCAATGTATTTTAAATTCAGATAAAGATATTAAAAAAAGTAACTGAGACAGATAAGTAAGATGTTATATGTAAGAGTACTTACTTACCATGACCTATTAAATTATATCCTTGTCCGAGAGGACACAGATCCGTGAAATCTTCTGCAAGATAAATTAAAACAGGTAAGTAGAGCACAAATAAAATTATTATCTATTTATTGTGTCACAGCTGATGATATGGAAAGTGTGAAGTGGTACTATTTGTTAATCATCACTAGACCTAACCTACGTAAAAAACATTAGCAAAATCTATAATACAGTGGGATGCACCAAACATCATAGGGAGCACTGACTGTAAGTGATTTCCTGACTTTCTTAACTTTTATTTTTTTAAGAACGAATGAAGAGGAATTACAGTGATCGTTTTGTTTTTTAATTTCTAATTTTGGGGTATCTCCACTAGTGATGTAGGATCCCCCCCACCCCTTTGATTTTGTCTTAGTAAAAATGCATCAATCTTAGGAAAATATATAAAATTTAATCTAGAACCCAAGAGCTTCCAGGTACGTGAGGCGAGCCCTGGACCACAATCGTAATGGGTGCATCTGTGGCACACATTCCCTTACATCTCTTGATCAAATAAACCTTGCCCTCACACTTTTAATTTGCCTCCTACACACCACTGTTTACCTTAGATTAGTTTTTCATGCATTTATATTCAAATGTTTTACTCTCAAGTCTTTTGGAGTTATATTTTTTGCTGTATGGTCAGGGTTTTGTATATGGGCTGGGATTTTTCTACAGTAGGCATCTGTGATTGGCAATAAATTCGAAAAATAAACAGACAGCACACAATCACTTGTTTTAAAATAATATATTCAAAATAAGTCAAATTTATGTACAAATTTTTTTACACTATAGGATATCACAGTTGTATCTAAAACTCTAAATAATTCTATTTTCTTGTCAAAAGTCCACACAGGATGATTCAATTACTTTAGAATCCAATTGACAAGACGAATTATTTTTCTCTACTCTTATCACAATAGTATCAATGAATAATTCACTTACGTTACCCCATGAGTTACCAAAGTTGTATTCAGAACTTTAAATAATTGTTTCCTTTTCGTCAAAGTCCACACAGATGGGTTCAATTACTTTATAACACACTTTGATAAGAAAAATTATTCTCCTTATCACTTTTAAAATGTGAAGCTCACTTTAAATTATCGCCCATTATGGCAAATCACTCTCACGGTGGCTAACTTCACGTTTTCTAACTTTTTCTGACTGAACTGCATTTGACTTGTGCTCACTTGATCACCTATATTTATATGTTGTTCACTGAGGCCTTGAACTTTCTATAAACTGCATGAGCGATGCTATAATGTAACAATACTGACTTAAAGTAATGAGAAAAACACTGAAGGTTCAAGTAATTTGGCGTCAACAATACTACAACAATTGAACCACGCACACAACATATGACTTAGCGAGTTACACAACCAAACTTGTCATAATTATCACCTTTAAAATCATTACTTATAGCTCTCTTGTTATGAAAATCAAATAATCATTAAATACTAAACCACCAAAAACAAACCAAATAATAACTCTTAATCCAAACAGTGTTGTATATCCAACACTGTTTTTACAATCTGGGAATCTTTCATTTCATAATGTTTATATAGGTTTCCATATTATATTTATAAAATTAGAACAAAATAATCCAATCATGTGATGTATATAAGATTAAGTTATCAATAACAACAAAGAACAGTTAAAAAAAAACACAATATTTACTGTATTTTAGGTTAATATATGTGAATTTTCATCAAGTTAGGAAGCTTTGATTGAACATTTTTCTTTGGCTGATTTTCAGCTAGTATTTGCCAGCTTGATTGAACATTTTTCTTTGACTGATTTTCAGCCAGTGTTTGCCAACCTTTCAAAACCATTGAGCCATTTGTAACAGAATTTAACATTACTATAATTTTGAGTTAATTATGTTTGGAGTAACAAAGTTCAAATTCTATAAATACTCATTCCCATGGAAGACATTTAGGCCAGCAGTTTACATATTCTGGTGGTCTAAAGTGCTTACATATAGTTAACTATAGTCATATAATGTTTATACTGCCATATGGGCTAACTTAATAAATGCGTAAGCTGTATCTAAAAATACTACACAAACCCTTTAGTTCTGCTCTTTAAAATGTGAAAATCTTCCTTTAACAGTTATTGAAAAATTGCTTGTGCAGAATATAATAAACAAAAGGGAAACTAGCAAACTAGCTTGGCCATGACAGTAATACAATTTAATGATTTCAAGAAAGAATGGAGAAACCTGTATATTCTAAAAGTACGTAAGTTTGTTTTTGTTAAGCAAAAAGCTACACAAAGGGCTATATGTACTGTGCCCACCACAGGTACTGAAACCCAATTTTTAGCAATATAAGCCTTCAGACTTACTGCCGAGTCACTGGGGACAACTACATGAGTAAAACAAATCTAATTATGCAGAATGATTTAAAGAAAAACTACAAAGTATTACTGTTATATATTACAGCATTTTAAACAACTTATTTGTCAAATGAAATATCAATTAAATAATTAAGATTTTTTTCTTTTCTGTTAAAATAACAGTAACTACTAAAACATTTGAAACACTTTACATTTCTTCATGCACTCAAACTGTAACCACCACATTAAAAAAAAGTTAAAGTAAGTACAGCTAGGACCAGCTTCTCACTGAATGAATGTAGACATTATGGCCAATAAAGAACTCACTTTTTGTTTTGTTTTCTTAATGAAAGAAGGTTATGTCAAAATTAAAGTAAAAGAGGTCTTTTTAACATTACGTAATTTACCCACTTGTTCCTCTGGTAGGGCAAGGTTGGCATAAATTTCCCCAGGCAGCTCCAATGCCACAGCAGCAATCAGTTCGAGTCATCTCTTTCATTTCTGTTGTATCTATGCAGGCATAACCAGCAGCATAGCTGAAGCAGTAGCCCAGACGAACATCTGAATAAGAGTTGTAAAGTTTAGGTATAATGATTTCAAATATTTTTAGCTTCTTAAAACACTGCCTTTTTGTTTTTTAGAAACCAAAATTACCGATGACTTGAGACTTAATTAAAATTAGAAATACAGTAGAGCACAGTTACAATGAACCTTCAGAGCCGGCTGTACATTCCTCATCATAAGCATGAGTTGTTATGGTAATTGTAAAGATGAATTGGCAAACAATAAATGCAGTATAATTCTTTAACGGGCCCTTCACGAGCCAGTGGGGGACACTTTTGATGAAAAAAAAATACCCATCAGACTTTTCTTAATTTGAACTGAAATTATTTGGACATTTATATTGGCTAAAAAGAAAGCATTTCCCAAACTCTTTTAGCATTGGGGCTGCAAAAAAGTGATTTGAAGTGGTAAGGTGACTGAAATCTGTCAGAGCATCATGAGCTTAACGGCCAAGCACAAGAAGCATAGAAGTCTACAAATCACACACATTCAGGAGCCATTTAGAAACACCTTGGTAGATATTGTGCAGCAAGCAGAGGAAATATTATGCCTGTAACTGCTTACAAAGTGTTCCTGTCTGTTCATCCTACCACTGACTGTCGTGATGCTTCGACCTTCCCTACAGAATCGCAGGTGAAATCATTTGTATCTCAATTGAAAGCTGAACATAAAAGGGTGATAGCAGAAGCATAAAAGGTTGGCAACTGCTTAATTAATGATGCTGAGAATGTGGCTTTACTGATATATACTGAATTTACTCCCAGCTAGTATGGAGACTTGAGGATGCTGTATTTCACTTAAAAATTAATCAATTAACAAATAAAAACTTGTCCTGAAAAGATACATCCAAAACCATCCTCTTTGGGAGTTTCCGGATTGGGCATAATGCATTTTTAACACCCAATTCAGTACTTTAATAATTTCAGCTTTATTAAAAGGTTAAAATTAAAGGAACTTGTGTGTGTGTATATATACGTTGAAACATGTAGAGATACTTTTACCACTGTTGATCAGTTTAAATAAAGATTACAATTGTGTTTTATACAATGTTGTTCATTTGTGGATTTTAATATTTTAAATTTCAGCTTTAGTTTCTTTGTTTCATAGGTGTTCATTGTGCAGATACTGACCAATGACTAATATCTGAACAAGTCAAAATTTCAATAGGCAGAGAGCAATGTGCATTATTGTAATACAGTTATATAATTGGTCTGTGTGTGTGTTGATATAGATTGTAGATACATAAATATGTTCATACTGATATTGTACAAGCATAAAAGTAATCATTCCTGAACAATTTCAAGTGTTTACAGAATAAAAACCAGAGTTAAAGAAAAATATATAAAAATTCATTGTAAAAATCATTTTTTTTTCTTTTTTCAGACTGCCAATTGCTAATTTATATATATACAATTTTGTTATAGCCCTGATTTCAGTATGTGTTTTCTATAAATATACTTGACTGTATCAGTATCGATTGAGCTTATGTTAACATATCCACAAAGAAATATGTAATATACTTTTACTTACTTCCACATGAACTATCAATTAGCAACCTAGTTATAAAACATATTAAGACAAAATACAATTAATATACTTATTAATTACTAAAGAAACTAACAATTAATAATAAATTTGTTTTTACTTAACCTAACGAGACACAGACGTACCGATAATTATTAGAAAGTTCTTACCAATACATGATGTCTGGTCAGCACTTGTTTCAAATCCTTCAAAGCATTCACACCTGTAACTCCCTCTGGTGTTGATACATCGTCCATTGGTACAGATACCAACAGTGTTGGCACATTCATCAATGTCTGATGTGTGATAAAAGTTCAAATCTTTACTATAAAGCATAGCAAGTTTAGCAAGAAGTGAAAATAAATATATTTTTATCTTTTAGTCACAACATGGTTTTTTTATCAATTCCATTCATATTGTGTTTTTATTGTTAAAAAATCATTAGGAGCATATTGTATCAAAATACAGATTAAGAAATGCTAGTTATGGCCATATACACCATAAAAATGCTTACTTTAAAGCCACAGGCATAAGCCAACTGAAACAATTAAACATTAGAAAATTTATTTAATCACTCATATTCTCTAGTTCTAACCCCCCCTCCAAATACTTAAAACTATAAGGAATAGTTTTATAAAATACCCCATTATGCCTCAAAAGAAACAATACCTTTCTCAGCTTTGTGACCAGGCTTTAAGTAGAAGGGTTTAAACACATATAAATCATGTAACTTTGAAGCATTTTAAACAGAAACAAAACATGTTAAACAGATATGAGTCACATCAATCCACATTGTGTTAAACGGAAACAAACCACGCGAGGTTGAAATGTGTTGAATAAACATAATCTACACGTGGATGAATTGAGTTAAACATACACAAGGTTAAAATGTTTAACTAATGCAAACCATGTTAGATTGAAGCATGTTAAACAGAAACAAACCATGTTACATTGAAGCATGTTAAAAAGATACATATCAGCTTTTTCTAATACAAAAAAGATGAACTTTGAGATTTCTCTACACACCTCATTTGTAAAATAATCCTTGTATTTTGGCGTTAACAAACACGAACAATACTGACAGAATCTTTACTTACATTAAAAAAAAATATATATCTTTACCTCTACATTCATCTCGCATCCCTACTTGCTCATACCCTTCAGGACATATGCACATGAAAGATCCGACCAAGTTCTTACACTCATAACGGCAGTTATTAACTGGAGACTCACATTCGTTAGTATCTGATCAATAAATATAAGTTAAAAATTAAAAAGTATATACTAAAAAAACAGAGTAATTTTAACAATCTCTTAAAGTAGTTTGTAATTAATTATTTTCACTAGAAGTTTATAAAAATTAGAACTTATAGAAACTTTTAAAGCCTGGGAACACATTTCTTAGGAAAAGTTGTGAAGCAGACAAAGTAATACCATAAGTAGTTGTATCATAAGCCAAAACTTTAATATACAACATATTAAACTATATTATGAATTGAAGAGTCGACTAGTTTGGTAGAGATCCATTTTGAAGGACAGAGAACTGAAGAGCTATTCACTGATACAGTGATGATGAAGAAAACTGAAGAGTTTTTCACTGATACAATGAAGATGATGAAAAACTGAAGAGTTATTCACTGATACAGTGAAGATGAAGAAAACTGAAGGGTTATTCACTGATACAGTGATGATGATGAAGAAAACTGAAGGGTTATTCACTGATACAGTGAAGATGATGAACAAAACTGAAAAGCCATTCACTGATACAGTGAAGATGATGAACAAAACTGAAAAGCTATTCACTGATACAGTGAAGATGATGAACAAAACTGAAGAGTTATTCACTGATACAGTGAAGATGATGAAGAAAACTGAAGAGCTATTCACTGATACAATAAAGGTGATCAGCCATTTTATCTACACAAGTATTTATACTGTATTTTGTGTGTCTAAATAAAGATTGTTTTCACTGTCCTTTAAATGTGTCCAATCTGTATATTTCTCACGCAATTTAAACTTCAGTCAAATTATCAACTACAGGACACTCCTGTTATTGCGGGTTTACCTGTCTGACACTTGTCGAGAAATTGGTTTTATGCAAAAATACCACATTTATAATAATTATCAGAAAATACATCTTTAACAATCAGTGCTGACAAGTACATGAAATGTATAAAAAGAAATACTTCACAACTAATCAACACTACTAGTGCTGCGTAACCTTTGAAATACACCATAACAAGTATGTCATGGCCAATCAGCATTTTCAGCTATACATACATCATGCCCAATGAAAGATAAAAAGAGAACATTTTATGAAACAAGTACACCATGATACAGTTGAAGAGAAATATATAGCCTACAGTAGAAAGTACCTTATGTTCAATCAACTTCGTGAAGTACACAAAATAAGCTGCCAAAACACCAATCACCGTTGTTGGCAACAAGGAAGTTGCATATAACGTGTAGCAATAAGTACGTCATAAAAATAATTATCTAACTGTATATTATTTTAATAAAAACGTATTAGTTACAATATAAGAATTTTATTACATTCTCTGCAGAAAGGTTTCAGTGAAAAATAAATCATTTAGAGGTGACGAAAAACTAGTGAAACAGCGTTCATAATATTAAAAGAATTGTCCACAAACCTTCGCAGTGTTTTCCATCTGTTGCTAAGGTGTAACCATAAGGACAAACACACTTAAATGATCCAGGAGTGTTCTGACATCGGAATGCACACAAGTGACTGAATTCCAAGCATTCATCAATATCTAAAGTATAGATTAGATTGTTGGAAAGAAAATATTTTCTCTTTTATACAGAACTATTCCTACTAACCTTCAATCATATTCTCTATATTTACTACTAGTCTCAAGAAAAATCTCTCATTTATATTTTAAGAATTAAAAGTGGGACTATAAGCAAACAACTTTTTGATGTTCATATACATTATTTTTAGAGGCACCATACTCATAGATTAATAGCCACAAAAATGGAAATTATAAGTACTGCAGAAGAATTTTATAGAATTACAGGGAGGTGTGCATGGGATAAATCTACATCCAGGCATCATGTCACATCTGAGGGTATATGATTCGCATATTTTTGGTACTAAAGCATGTTCCACACGTTGGGGTTGTGGGTGAGCTATATAAGAATGATGGTGAAATCCTACTCTTTAATCACATGATTAGCCTAAGAGATGGTTGTATTTACTAACTGCCTTCCATCTAGTCCTTTTTATAGCCCACGAGCTGAAGTACCCGTCCTTTGTCCGCATTACGAAGTTAAAATAATGTGGGGTGGATGCTAGGAGAAATCATACAAAATCCTGACTCTCACACAATATATTTATAACATAACATATTATTGCAGTGTTCATTGTTATCTCAACAAAAGGTTTGTATAAGCTGCAAGAACTCAATATGTAAACACTTAAAATATGATATACACTGTGCGATGGTCAGGGTGACTTTGTTGGAAGAGGTAGCAGAAAAAGTATTGGCAGTAGGTGTGCTTTCTGTTACTAGCTTTCAACATACAGTTCTTACTGTCCTTCCAGTTACTGGCCACAGAAGTGTTTTACAGGCTGAAGTTGAAAGATCATGGGTCAAAGTAGGAAGTGGGTATAACTCAAGAAACTGCTCTTTGTATAAGTGTTATTGTGGCTGTTGGAGTAGAAATTTCAGCTGAGGTTATTTATCATTGCATTAGTGGCAGCCATTTATTTTCATTGCATTCCTCTACAGAGAGTGCTGGTGCCCTCCCTCAGATATATAAGACGTTTGTGTGCCCTCCCCCACAACGTGTGAATATGTTGTGTTATAGAAAATGTAATAAGGTTTTTTTTTATGTGTGAGTAAGGACATGGCACCATTTATCAATGTAGTTAATATTAACTTACACCAAATATTGACATGATCCTTATTCAAAACTATCATCACACAAAGTTTGGTTCAGATTGGCCCAGTGACCTAAGAGTAGTTAGATAATGGACAAATGGACAGACACACAAATTTTTGTGCTTTATATACATAAAAGAGATAGTTGTGGATGCTATATACTGGCTGCCACCTTCCATCTAGTCCTTTTATAGCTCTGCATGAAAAATCTAAAATCAAACAAGCAATCACAAGACTATGTTCACTAAGCCATTAATTCATGACTAATTGTGAAATGGTTGAATTCATATCATTTACTTCATCTAAGATAATACTGAAAAATTATTACACAGTTTCTTACCTTCACAAGTTTGCCGAGGGCCCGGAGTAAATCCTTCGTGACACAAACATTCAAACCCACCAATCACATTCTTGCATGATCCATTTCCACAAATATTGTGTTCCTCACATTCATTAAAATCTGAAAGAATAGAAAATTAATCAACACTCTTTGTTTTATATAAAAGTTTAAAGGAACATAAAAAATCATAAATATTAAAACCAATTAGAGCATTGGAAAAGGGTTATAAAAAAATAGTAAATCTTAAACTACATTGTAATATGACAGAACTGATCTGAATAAAAGTCAGTAAGATATTTCAATAAAAATTAAAAAGATGTCTATTTTGTTGAGGGCGACCTGCAATAGCTGTCCTTAATTATTTTACGTGATAAACTAGAGTGAAAGAAACTAGTCAAAACCACTCCAATCCCACATTATAACACCCCCACAGCTGAAAAAGTGAGCATGTTTGGTGACAGGAATCGAACCCACAATCCACAGATTTCAAGTTGACCACCATAACCACCAGGCTATGCCAGGCCCTTAAATTTAAAATATTTAACATATATTTCTTATGTATTTTCATATATTAATTTGATTTATGATTAAAGAAAGTAACCTTAGCCTATTCTAGGTGATTCAAATAATCAATTATTTGATGTATCAATGTTATACTTCTCTATGCTACAGGTGCACAATTGCATTATCGAAACACATGAATTTAATTATAAAAACATTTTAAATTTGCAATTCCAATAAAATAAAACTCTTAGTAAAATGCTTTATATCTCCCTATTAACATAAAACTGGGGCTAGAAAGAAGTAAATGTTTCAAATATAAATTATGAAGTCCTATGACTTTTATGAGAAATCATTCATTTAAAAAGTAATGCATGTTAATTGAATACGTATTTTTAAAGAAATCAATCATTGCTTCACAGCTTTACATTTTTTTGAAAACAACACCATTAAGTGTTTCTGATATTAGAAAAATCCTGTTACCACAAATAAAATTAAAATTTTACCTTTAAAGAATGAGTAATACAAACTTTTAAAATATGACAAACCGATATGTAGATATATTATGTGGTTTAAGAAAAAGCCTAAAAAAAACCACGAAAATATAGCTATAAACCAAAACCACCAAATAAGTGAAGGATAGCCCATGATGAGTAAATGAAAGACTTTTGATATGTCCTCTGTACACTTGTGTTTTTTACAATGGTCAGTTGCCACCCGTTCCAGTTTACTTATCATGAATACTCTGCCTAAACAATCTATCAAAGGATAATCCTTATTTCATGATTCAAAACCAAAAAACTGTCTTTTCAGTGGAATTATTCATAATAGTAAAAAATTGTTTGTCTCTTGGGTAGAAATATCTATAATAGCAAAAATTGTTTGTCTCTTGGGTAGAGATATTTATAATAGTAAAAATTGTTTGTCTCTTGGGTAGAAATATTTATAATAGCAAATATTGTTTGTCTCTTGGATAGAAATATTTATAATAGCAAAAATTGTTTGTCTTTTGGGTAGAAATATTTATAATAGTAAAAAATTGTTTGTCTATTGGGTAGAGATATTTATAATAGTAAAAAATTGTTTGTCTATTGGGTAGAAATATTTATAATAGCAAAAATTGTTTGTCTTTTCAGTGGAATTATTTATTACAGCAAATAAATGTTTGAGTAGAATTATTTAGAAATAAACCTAAAAACTCTGGGATCCACAATGTACTAAGTCTTTAAAATTACACAATTACTCACAAACACTTGCCTAGGCATTTTCTGCCAGTGACATCTAGTATGAAACCCTCCTGACACTCACAACGGTAACTACGATCAGTATTTACACAGTAACCATTTTCACAGATGTTTGGATCAATCACACATTCATTGATATCTGAAATGTAAAAGTACACCAAATAATTACAGAACTGAAATATTTAAAATATTACAGAGTACAATATTTCACTTTAAAGAAAAAAAGGGTATTTATTAACTTGATTACTTTCATATGTTTTCAATATTAACCAATCTGTGTGTAAAAACTATCAATTATTGAATTCAAATTCTAGGATATAGGTATACACAAGTCTACAGTTGAGAATTAACAGCCTATAGAAGATTATTAGAGAGTTGTTGGTTCGAGGATTTAGGAAGCACAAAAACGGGTTAGTGATTTGTAGTGATAAAATGAATAGGATAAAACATGGTGTAAAATTGAAACATTTTATTACTGAAAGAACAGAATGAACTTAGAGATTGAACTAATGGATGAATAACTATTGGATATAAAAGTTCAAATGTAAAATTAATTAGATGACTGTACTCAAAAGAAACAAAACCACTTTCCCAACACTAGTGATGAACAGTACCCGAGTAACAGGCTTACTGGATCTCTCAATAGGAAAAACAAATCTACTTGGAAACACCAGAAACTTCATTCACAATTTACATTTTCTCTCTCTGAAGCCATTCAATTCAGAAGCATTTCAGAACTCAAAGTAAAGTACAATACAATACAACTATCTCATGAAACAGTAGACAGCTTCCATAATCTCACTCTGTCACAGAAAGTAACACCTCGGCCTTAATGTATCACATAACTTTGATATGTTATAGATATGAAACACATATTATTGGGTAATGAGATATCTAGTATTTCCAAACTACAAAACCTTCTTCTTTTATCTTAGGCTTGTCCTCAAGTCAATTTTATGTTAAATTAAAACCTATTTGAAATTTACAATGCAATTTTGTAATATTGCAACAGGGAAATTTATCAGTCACTGTAACAAATAAAACCTAAGAATAGATTCATAATAACAAATTCCTTTTCATTCGTGATACAGATCAATGCATGATGAGTGCTTTAAACATTGAAATTTACAAAACAATAGACTAGAATTTAATTCAATACATATATAAAGACAAGTAAAATCCCTTTTCATTACATCAAAATGAAACACTCTTTCAAAATACAACATACACAGGGAAATTAATCTTTTATTTACAAAGATGCCACATGTATTGAGACATGTGAAAATAAAAACCTCTAAATACAAATTACCAAACTACATAATAAAATTATATTAAAAATAAAAAACTAAAACAAGTCAGGAGGAGAACTTGAAGCAACAGAAAAAAAGCAAGGGAAAAACACAAATGCTTATCATACATTCACTACAAATAGAATAAAATAGAAGGAACTAAAGAAATCAGCTAAAATAAATATAAATTAAATAAAGAAAAAGCAATATATTGCAGAATGACATTAAAGTCAAATAAACATAAAACCATCACGAAAAATCTTTAAAATGTTAGAAAAATGATCTCTAAATTAAAATAATATTCTAAAAATAAAAAAATATCATTTTAAATACAAAACATTACATCCTTTGATTAATCAATGTGTAAAAATGTACAAAGTTCAAGTAGTACACACACACTATGAAATGCTAAAATAAAAGAAAGCTCATATAAAAAACAAGCATTCAAAGGTAAACAAAAGTAGATACTAGTAAAGAAAAGAAGTGAAATCAATACAATATATAAAAACAACCATCTTTACAAACAGAAGCTCCAGCAAAAATGGTCAGCACGTTTTCCAGGAGTGCATGGAACTTTTCCTTTCTGTTGCCATCCACTACATCACCTCAAAGTCTGGGCCAGCTCTGTTGGCAGTCAGTGAGGTATTTGTTTTGACAGAGTTAAGCTGCTGTTTCGGAATACCATCGTTCTCCAGGCAGGTTTTGGACAGGCAGTGATACCACAAATGCACTACTTCTGATGCATCAAATACCTCTAGTATAGTGGTCATGGGGCTCCACTGGTATCTTCTGGGTCTTTGTTTACTGGTGAGAGATGAAGATGTGGAAACCAATGGTCTTGCAACAGACAAAGTTGCAGCCACAGCACAAGATATTGAGGTTCTCTTATCCTTTTCTGTATCCAATTAAATTGTTCCCGGCCCAGTGGGAACCTTTATCTATTCCATGCATACTTTACATGTGGCTCTTTTACTCAACATACATGTGTTTTTGGTTTCTTCAAGCCATGTTATCACTGGAGGTGCTGGTTTGGCTCCATCTACAATATTCTGCCAAATCTTTGAACATCCTGAAGTTTTCTTTGGCTTGGAATAAGAAGCTATTGCTTGTTTTAGAGCAAAGCCACATTAGGCTATCTGCTATGTCCACTGCTGGGAATTGAACTCTGGATTTTAGCATTTTAAGTCTGTAAACTTACCACTGTCTACTGGGGACTGGAATAAGAGGAACCTGTATTGCCAGTGCATGAAAAATACAGACAGTATGCTCACCAATTATGCAGTTCTGGGAAAACTATGGAAAATGTTTGGAATTTAACTTTTATTCAACTACCCTAGTAAATTCACCTCTGTATTGTTCTTAGATGGTGCTACGAGGTGAAAGATTGGGACTGGTAAAGGTCTAACCACCTTCATCAGCGTGGAATCTGGAAGATCACTAGCCTCCATATACTTGATGGTGTCATACGAGTTAGATCTGCCAGCTAAACTGCAGGTTGGTTGTTTTAATCTAGAATATCTCCTATCTAGTGGGTTCAAGATGAAAGAAAAGCTCAGTTGGACACTTTGGGGGTTAGATGAACAACTCTCTTTAATAAATCAAAAGTTGGAGAAAAAAGTGATGTCAGCACTGGTCAAGAATTCAGGTTCTAGTATAAGGTGGTGATTAGTGAAACTTACATTCCAATTATACACAGCAGTTTCTTCAAACTGTCAACGTATACTTAGAGGTACAGGTTTCACACTAAACCTAAGTACATTCTTGCACACCAAAAATATCAGATTAAACAAACTTACTAAGTATATGTAGCAGTTAGTGCTGTGCTTCCTGATGGCTTAACATCCCTGTAAATGAAAACCTAAAATTAAATTGCTGTATCAGAACAGATATCTTATGGAACGAACAACTGTATATAGATTACAGCATCATCTACACTGCTGCCTGCTTGTCGGCCATTACACGAGCTGCCAACTCCACTCTCTTGACCTTTAAAGCATGGCAATGACAAGCCCTTTACTGAACATCATTAATTTCACACCTATATATGAAAATGACGAGGGAAAGTCCAAGCATTAAACTAATCAAAACTCCGGAATCTTTATCACAAAGCAGAAGAAGATACTTCTTTTTTCTGCTTAAAAATGTTTCAAATGTACAAACTTCAACAAAGACAGAAATATTACACTTTAAACTTTGCTTACTTTACATAGTTGTACACTGTAACCACCAAAATCAGCTTACTCAAGCTAATAAACCACAATCTCAGTGAAAATAAAAACAAAGAAAAGGACGTGATGACAGATGAAAGGGATAAGAAAAGAAGTATCCAGTATATCTACCTCTGTTGTCCAATATTCTCAATAAAGAAATTTTTGAAAACATTTTGTTTTCCAACTTGAAATGAAATGTATCCAGATAAAGATTGATTTGAGACAGATCTATGACAGGCCTCCAACCTTGTTGTCATTACAACTACAAAGAGACAGGAAAGTAGAGATCAAACTGAAAGACTAGTTGAACCAAAGAGGCACAGAGATAAACAAATGATCCCCAAAAGTTCTGACAGAGAAGTTGTCTGGAATGAAAAACAGTAATAACACAAGATGCCAAAACCCTAATAAGCTCATATTGGTTTGCTTCTCCTAAAATGGCATCAGTTTAGGTAAAAAACCTACAAAGATAAAATGATGCATGAAATAAAAAAAGCTGGCAACACAGCATGATGAGCTAAAGTGCCACATAGTAGAAACAAAATTATTAAGATCTGAATTTAATGAAGACTGCACAGTAATTCCTGACTAAAAGAATCAAGAGAACAAGTTAGATCGGTCAAAACTAAAATCCAATGGCTAACTCGAAACATCTTTGGAACATTTTGTAATCCAACGATCCACCTGACAGTTTCTTGATCAAATAACTGTGTTAACATCTGAAAGTTGACTTTATGCCTAGCCATAATGACTAGTGGCTAATATTAAAACTGTAACCACGCTTCTACGTGCACTATTCATTCGGATGGCATCCTTTCTTCCTCCTACCCTTCATGAACAACCAGAGAAGGTTCATACTGGATAAGAGTACAATTTCACAGTAGTCTTGTCACTGTCTGTAATTTTGATGTGTTCACTCTGTGCTTCAGTCAAGTCAGTGTGACAGAAGCTCATTTGATCATAAGGCTTCACCTGATCAGTTCCCTTTAACATACTGCAAGATTGCTGAATCTCAAAAAGCAATTCAACGTAGTAAGTCACCACAGGTCCAGTCCTGTATGATCTGAGTTGTTTACATGTTGTAGGGGTATACCAGAGCTACACCCACTCTCCTTGATCAAACTGATACTCCTTTATTGTCTTACTTAAGTAATTTTTTGTTTTACAGCCAGATTGAAAACACACCATGTATTCTTCTGGGCATTTCAGAAATTGTTGTGATATAACTTCACTTCACAAATCAAAACATTAATTATGTATTCATTCAAGAGTTAAGGCTTGTTATGTTTTCATGTTTGATACACATACTAAGGTCTCTAAATACCAAGACAACTCACGGAAACTTTCTCAGTGAAATCTGAGTCAGCCAGAGTTTTACTCAAAAAGCTGCTGTTAAAAATGATTTATTTAAAATTGTAACACACAAAGAAATTTAATTTCTCTTAAAGTAAGTAAAAGTTAAGAAAAATTGAGGATTTCAACAACAATAACAACAACAAAAAAAGGTAAGAGATGAAAATAGGGGGTGTTAGAAGGCCTACAAAATGTTTATTTTTAAGCAAAAATTTTAGGCTTCAGCTAATATTCTCATAGTGATGATATAGTGATGGTATATAGAGTAGATAATTATTAGAAATTTAAAAATTGGTAAGTCAGTTATTGAAATAATAGCTTAAAATATTTTCAAGTAGCTTTAATCAGATGATACTGTATGCTCCATGACTGTTTTAACCAAAGTTAAATATTCTTCCAATTCCAATTATTATTTTTCTGTATAAAAGGTAAAACAAATTCTAATGACATACAATATCAAACAAAATTATTAATTATTATATTCTGAATATACAAACGTTATGTTAATATCTTTCTTTACCAATGTCCACTCCATTGATACTGAAGACTCCCATTCCATTAGGACATAGTGCTTTAAATGCTTCTGAAAAAATAAAAAAGTTAGCATTACCAAACTATTTTAAACAGAAATAAATAAAAATAAAACCTTTTGCTGAATATAGATACTAGAAATTAGACAAAAAAATTATTTTATTTAACAGCAGAACTAAATATTTTTGTTTTAACCCCAAAATTATTACATGTTTCCATCAATAGGGTCTACGTATTGCATCATACTGAGTACTTTAATGTTTTTGTCTGTTATACCACTCAGCAGGGCTGTCATTAGCAGGAAAGGGGGACAGGCCCCCACAATTTTGTTGCCCCCATTTCCATTCTTTATCTTACATTAAAGTTTCCATTCTTCTTTTTCTTTCAAATTTATGTGATTTTCAAGTTTTTCTATCCCACTCTTACCTTCTTTAAGTTTGTAATTTGAACGTATCCCCTCTCCACCATACCTTCTTTAAGTTTGTAATTTGAACGTATCCCCTCTCCACCTTACCTTCTTTAAGTTTGTAATTTGAACGTATCCCCTCTCCACCTTACCTTCTTTAAGTTTGTAATTTGAACGTATCCCCTCTCCACCTTACCTTCTTTAAGTTTGTAATTTGAACGTATCCCCTCTCCACCTTACCTTCTTCAGCTGTAGGACAAAGCTCACATTTGATGTGGCCCCATGCTACAGAATCTTTCATACAACAACATTCCATTCGGGTTGTGTTTGTAGGTTTTGGCTTTACACACATATCATTCTTAAAGTCAGTATAACAGTAACCTTTCCTGTTATCTGGGGAAAAAAAATATATACATATATAGTTATACAAATACAAAATAACTCATCAACTGTCAATGGGTGAAAAAAAATTCAACACTATGAACCAATGCAAACAATGAACTTAAAGTGAAATCGTACAACATCAAAAAGATAACAAAAACTGTACCAGTTATGCAATTATACCCTTTGCAGTACAACATAAAAAAGATGACAAATTATACCAGTTCTGTAATTATAACCTTTACAGTATTAGCATCTTATACAGAAAAACGGTGTCCGTATAATCATTGAACATTGTGCTAGATAGAAAACAAATAGAAAATATTGCCACTAATTTCTTTTCTATGGCATCCCAACAAGTCATATTATCTTTAATTTTGTTTCAAATACTTTTGTCCAAAGCTTAATCAAATATTTAATGCACAAAAATAAATTATGTCTTTGCCCAATAATACATTGTTTTACATTATTTGTTTGTATCTTGTCTTTAACTATCAGATTATTAGGTTAATAGTTTTGTAAAGTATGTCTTTAGCTAATTTTATAAAATGGATATATTTTTTAAAGTTATCATTTTTTTTAAAGGACAGTTTTAAACCTACAAAGTTTTTGTATGTATATCGTTATGACAGAGGAAGTCACGTGACGCTGGTAACACGTGATGAGTTTCTAGAAGGACCGGGGAACATCACGAATAATCCAGTATTTGCTAGACGCCCTCTATTCCTGTATATAAGCGCGCCAGATAAAGCAAGACAATTAATCAGAACTGGAATAGCAGACAGAGAGATTGAAGATATAGACAGATAATCGAGTTAAGCCGTAAGTAAAGTGTGTAAATCATTGTGAATTATAGCGTGTGTGTTTAAGTTAAAGTGACTGTGGAAATTAAGTGTATTGCAAAGTTGTATTGAAAATGAATAAACTAGTTTTATTTAAGAAAGGACTTGTATCGCTGAAGTTCTTCGGAAAAAATTTCTACGGAAAATTAAC